GAATTCAGCAGAGGTGGCCATCAGGAAGGCTTCAGAAAAGAGCCCCCGGCCCCCAGCCAGCTCAGACCACCACACGCCGCTCAGAAACAGTAGAGTTTGAGGAGCAGCGGACCACAGCTTCAACCTCGTGCTTCCTACTTCTAAACCTGTCTGCCCGTGTGCAACACGTAAATACTACTTCAACCCTTAATAAATGGACAAGACTATGACCCACATGAATGAAAATACTGGACATGACCCAACCATCAGTTTGGGAGAAAAACACTATTGTCAACCCTGCTTTAGACGCTGTACTGATTCCTGAAGCCCTGGCCCCTGGGGCTCCCCTTCCATGGGCTGTGCCCCTTCGCTGCTGCCAGCAGGCCCTCCTGGAGTCCCCCACGCAGCCAGCCCCCACTGTGGCCACTGCTGTGCCACTTCCTCTCACCGAGCACTGCCTGCCCTCCCCCCTCCTCCTGCCAATACTGACTGGCCCTTCACCTCCCAGCTAAATGTCACTTTCTCAGTCCCTCCTGGGCCCCTCCCACTAGACGAGGGCCCTCTCACACGCGCATCACACCTCTCTCCCATCAAAGGTCATGGCGTTCCCAGTGTGTTTTGTTATTACTGTCCGTCCATGAGGCTGGGGCCTGCTCGCTGTGTGCTCTGCTCCCCAGGGCCTCAGGGCCCAGAATGAGCAAGTAAATGGCAGTGCCGAGGCCTCCCCAGAACACGGAGTCAGGGCTACAGCCCAGGGCCACACCCTGCCCACCACCAGCTTCTATATACTTATGAGCCAAGAGTGCTTCTATTTTTTTAAGATGTTGAAAATAAATCAAAAGAGCAATATTTTGTAACATGTGAAAATCACATTAAATTCCAATTTTATAGCCCATGAACAAAAATGATAGGAACACAGCTAAACTCATTCTATGGCTGTTTCTATACAACAGCAGAGAAGAGCAGTCGCAGAGACAGTGCGGTCACAGACCTAAAGTTCACTATATGGCCTTTACATAAAACATTTACCCGCCACTGTAACTGTGGCCTGAACACAGGAGGCCTGGAAACAGGACATAGCACGACCTGGGGGAGTCCTCCTTTCCTCTGGAGCCCTTGTGTGTTCCGTGGGCATTCACCAAATGGCAGCTGCCCGCATGACATGGGGTGAGAATGCAATTTCATCCATTTGGGAATTCTGGCTGACCACTCCTAAAGAGCTGGAGCTCATCCCAAAACCAATGCCAACAGGTGACCACCGTCCACGTATTCATTCAACACACATCAACCTGGGCACCTGCTCTGTACAGGCAGTGTTCTGGGAGGTGAGGGCACAGATAACAGTCCTCAGGAGGCCTCCTGAGCAGGGACATTCTGAGGGCTGTGTGACAGCAGTGGGATATCATATGTATGATGTCCTACCTGCAAAGAACTTAACTGGGAAGCCATGAGTCACCCATGAAAAGTGAGGTGTCAATAAAAGATTTAACAATACTTGAGGCCCCTGAGTGGATGCCCCAGGGTAGGGTGGCCAAGCAGACCGCTGTGGCCAAGGCGGCTGGTGTGTCCACATCTATCTGCACTCAATGCTATAACCACCCAAGCTAACAAATGTCTGTCACGCTGAGAGCACTTTCAACACGACAATGTGTAGCCTTCCCACAAGTGTCAGGTGAGGATAGGGATGCATGGTTGTTCAGTCATGTGTGACTTGGCAACCAATACACGTATCCGTTTGAGCACCAAATGCCTCCAAGATGGGGACCACAGGGAGGTGGGGTGCGTCTGCTGACGTCTGACGATGCTTCTGGGTCCGGAGGCTGCAGAGCTCCGGTGAAGTGGGGTCTCTCAGGCTGCACCCCCAGCCAGCCACATGCTCTCCTGCCCTAAGGCCAGCTCACGCCAGAACTGTCTCCTCACCTCAGGTCCCAGGAAAGCCGGCGAGAAGCCTTCAGCACCCCTCCCCGCCCCCACCCCACAGAAGCTTCACTCTGCTGACTATTGTAGCAGTTTCCAAACAAGCTTAGTAAAAACAGGCGTTACGCATCCTGGTGAAGGATCAGTCCGGAACATGTGCCTGGTACATTCTTACTGTGAGAAAAGGGCAGAAACCAAATGCAATTCTGGCATCTTGACCACTCCCCATTCCCAAGTCTGCCCCACCACAGGCCTGAGTCCAGCTGCATGACCTCAGGCACCTCACGTCCCCTCTCTGGACCCCATTCTCCCACCTGTAAAATAAGGTTCCCTGGACCAGATCCCTGAGCTCAAGGATGAGTTTACCAAGAAATTCCGTCACAGCTTTCACGAAGACTCAGAGCAGTGCAATACTTTGAAAAAGCCAACAAAACACGGCATCTCTAGAAAGGACAGAAAGATGCTTTAAAACAAGAAACATACAAAAACACAACAAGCAAATTGCTGATTTTTCTTTTCTTTTTAACTCATGAGTCAAAAGAAATGGTATCTGTAAAATCATATACAATTAGCTGACATCTGTGACCTACATTTCTCCTTGGAAATCAGGGTCTCCCCTACGGACAAGGGGCCCCAAGGCATGGTATTAAAGCTTATGAGAATCAGTTCTTGGGTCTGAAAGGTGAAAAGGTAGATTGCAAATTTCCACTGATGCCACCATAAAATTTTTATTACCACAGCTCAAAAGTAATCACTGTACACTAAAATGCAACTTTCTCCAAACACACCCCTGCTCTGAGACCTACATCTGACTGCCCGCCCTCATGGATGGCTCTGCCTATTTCCATTTCCACTGTGTTTATAAAACAGACATGGGACCTCGGGAATTCTGTTTCATTCTGTGACTAATTCAACGTTACACATCAAAATATCCCTGCATAATCAGGAACGTGAAAATCACTTTCCTCCTTTTATTTTTTTTAAGAAATACTCTGAACATATTAAAAAAAGATGGATAGGACAATATAATACACACTGGTGTACCGCCTAGCCCTGAAGGTGAAACTGCAGAGGCACTGGAAGCCCCTGGGCACCCCTTCCTACTTACAGTTCCCTTTCCTCCCAAGTGGTACTCACCGTCCCGAGTCCAGGCTCCTCACCCCATGCGCCTCCCTCTCACGGCCCAGCACACACATTCACACGGTCTTAATTGCTGCATAAAGGGCATCGTCCTGTAGCCGTCACCCTGACCTGTTTTCTTGCTCGGCTGAGTGAGCCATCCATGCTGACAACCTGGAGTTCTCATTCTGCTGCTCCTTGCTGCATGGCATCCCATCGCATGAATATACCACACATCTGGCCAAAGACACTACTTGTTTCCTACAGCTCCATGTAGGCCTACTCTGTGCCAGCCGTTTTCCATAGCAGTGCCCAGAATCATTACAACCACCTAAAGAAGAAGGAAAGAGTCCCTCCCACTAGACCAAGAGGAAACCAGGACAGAGACCACCATACGTGAGGGCAGACTCAGGCTGCAAGCTCAAGCCCACCGAGCTCTACAAGCACACTCCTAACACTGCACCTTGCGGCTCCACTTACATAGATGCCAGCATCATGCAAAAATTTTTAAATGAAAAAACGAATAGAAGCTCCAAGGTCATCTGAAAATCTGAAAAAGGATGCCCATGTGCATGCAACGTGAAGACAAGCCTTTGCTTGGCCCAAGTCCCTGTGAACACGTGCGGTCATCCCCCAGTTTATACAAAGGTTTTCTAAGGAGCCTGAGCTGAGATAATTTCTTTTGGAGAAATGGGCTGTCGGCCTGTTAGGGGCAGATGGAGGAGCCTGAAGGAACCCAGCAGTCAGCCTCTGCTTGAAATGGCAAGAGCCGAGGTGACAAAGCTCTGAGAATGACCTCGGAGAGCAACTCCAGCTGCTGCCAGCCCCAGCAGTCCAGGGAACAGTGCTGCGCTCATAGGCCAAGGGAGCTAGGCACAGCCCACTCTGCTCTCCACTTGGCCAGCTCTGCGGAGACCTCTCATCCGTCCCAGCCCAGCCCTGCTGCTCTGGAGAAAGCCCAGCTTGCAGTGCGGAAGAGAAGTGAGCGAGAAAGGGTGGAGGTTCACAGGAACCAGGCCAGAGTAAGGCCAGGAAAGGGGCACCCGGCTCTAGGCCAGGGCCTGAACCCCAGCTGCTGGAAGCAGGAGGGCCCCTAGGAGATGATGGGACCCCCTGGGGCAGGGGAGGCCTCCCAGCACCAGGATGCCTGACTCCAGCCGCGGCTTCTACACTATGTCTCCCACAGCGTTTCTCTGCTAGAAAATCAAGGAAGCCTTTAGGGGGCGAGGCGGAACTGTTGAAGCAACCCTATCCCACCCTGCCAGCCAAGACAAGGAGCAGAAAAGGCTGCCATGCACCGGCCATGTGGTCTCAGCTGGAGTGTCCCTGCCCACCCTGGAGGGGGCTGTAGTGGATTATCTCCAAGGGCCTGACCCCTCTCTCTGAGCCTGTGAAGCTGACTGCAATTCACATTCACCAAGCATTCTGGAGTATAATTCATTAATGCCCACACCCCCATGAGGCAGGTACTTATCCCCATTTCGCAGAAAACGCTGCTGAAACATCAAAATAACTGAGGTGGAGAAACTACAGGCACGGTGCCCAGGAGGGCTGCACAGAACATCCGTGGCATGGGGGAAGCAAAAAGAGAATCCGGGGGCGGGCGCAGGGCGGTTTGTGTCAGGGGACTGAGGAAACCCCCAGTCACTCGGGCCTAGGCCCAGGTCTTTGGGGCATGAGATGGGAACACGAGGGCACAGTGGGAGGAAGACATGGGGAATAGCGGCACAACAGGGCCTCGAGAACGCTGGCAGGAGAGGAAGGGGGTCGGGGCTGAGCGAGGACCACGAAAAGCTGAGCTCTCATCTGCAGGACTGGCCCGCCTGGAGCACCCACCCCGCCCGGGGAACCAGCCTGCCTGGAGCACCGATCCCGCCAGGAGCACCCTCCTGCCCCTCCACGCCCCCCGCCTGGAGTACCCGCCCCGCCCGGAGGACCGGCCCCAACTGGAACAGCGCAGCTCCGCCCCGAGCACCCGGTCCCACCTTGAGCACCGTGACGGAGCCCGCGCTGTGCACCTGGAAGTGCGCGGGCGGCTCGGTGCCGGCCGCCTCGTCGGGGCCCTGGTAGCTGAAGCAGGCGTCCGCGATGTCCAGGTGGCCGAGCGGCAGCGCGTCCTGCGGGCTCTTGAAGTAGTAGAGGTAACAGCGGCGCGCGTCGAACACGAACCAGCGGCTGCGGTAGCCGCGCAGCGGGCCCTTGCCCGACAGCTTCTGCAGGTAGCCGCAGAGCCGCGCCGGCCCGCGCGCCGCCCCCGGCCCCAGCCCCTCGCCGCCCGCCTCCCGCGGCTCCGGCCCCGGCCCCTGCATCGTCAGCCAGAGCCTCCGCCGGGCCCGGCCCCGCTCAGCTCCGCCCCACCGCCCGCGGCCCGGCGCCCGGCGCCCCGCCGCCCTCTCCGCCCCCGCCCTGCGCGGCCCGCGGCGCGCAAAGCCGCCTGGGACTTGTATGCCCGCTACGCCCCCGGGAACGCCCGCCCCGCCCGCGACGCCCCCGCCCCGCCCCGCAGCCCCGTCCCCGCCGCGGAAGCCCCGCCCCGACCGAGGAAGCCCCGCCTCCTGCGCCTCGCCGCAGGCCGGTTGGACGTGGGCTCGGAGCCCGGCACCGCCCAGTTTTCTGGCTGTAATAAGACCTTTCCTTTTGGATGTCGCCACGCAGGTCTGAGCTAGCAGCGCAAACGGCCCCCGCAGCCGGCGGAGCGGGGCCGTGAGGCGCGCCGGGCCGGGGTTCCAGTGACGTCAGCCACGTTTGCTGGGATCCGCATACCCGCCCACGAACCCCTCCTTCCCTGGGTCCCCCGGGAGTACTCCTGCCCCCCCCCCCCGGGAGCCCCTGTACACCCCGGGCCTCCGTGAGCACCTGTGTGCCCCGGGAGTCCCCGCCCCGCAGCCTGCGGCCTGTGCAGATCGGCTGACCAGAGCCGGCAACACGCCAGAGCAGACCTACACGCCCGACTGGGGAACACCGAGGCCACCACTAGGCTTCACAAGGCGGACTGAGGGTGGTGGCCGGGGCAGCAGGGGCACACGCGGCCCTAGGGCCAGGGCAGCAGGGAGGCGACAGGAGCAGAGATCTGGACAAGGGGCAGAGCCCACAAAGTGTGGTGGGAAGGGCCCAGGCAGGGTAGCTCTGCGAGCAAGCACCGCATCTGATGTGTCTCACCAGCATCTGCACATGTTTACAGACACACCAAGACGGGAGGAAAATTTCTAAGATGGGCAGGACACCAAGTTAGATGCCCACCTGGACACAGGTAGGAGAGAGGCTCCTGGGCTCACCCAGCCAGCAGCTACAGGCCCTGCTTAGGGGCCCCACCAGCACCCCTGCTCCAGCCCAGGTCTGACTGCGCGGCCACAGCAAGGCGCCTCTCGCAGTGCCCTTTGGTTCTGAGTGCCGCTGGGCTTGCTGAGAGCTGGGGCCGGACTGGTCTGCTAGCTCTGTTGACCAGAGGTGTGACCTGGCATAGTTAACCCCTCTGAGGTTCATCTGTAATATGGGATGATACAGGCAGCTACTTTATACCAGTGTCCTGTCAGGGTGGGAAATGCATGGAAGTGCTTAGCATGGTACACAGAGGCTGTGACTTTTACCATTCTTGTACGGCTGACACTGATGTCTCCACAGTCAGCAGATCCCAAGGGTGTGGGAGGCACTGTAACAGGATGGGCCGCCTGGGGCATGAGGGAACCAAGTTCATTAGGGCCCTTTGGGCAGGGTGGGTTGTGAGTAATCGGCTCATGTGTGTGCACGTGTGTGTGACCAGGAAATCCCTGGGACAGAATAGAGCTGCAACCGCATCTGTCCAGCTTGGTGGGCAGCTGTATACAGGAGATATACAGAGGGCTACGGGGTGAAGTGGGGTACAGCCTGTCTCTGTCCTCACCTTTGTCAGTGAGTTGTGCAATATGGGGGTGGCTGTGGCCTTCGGTCCAGGAGGACAGACCTTAGTCTCATGGGGTATCTCATGGAGGAACATATGTGCTAGGCACCGGGAAGTCACCCTTCACAGGCAGAGGGAGCCAGCCCATCCCTGGGCCAGCTAGTAATGACAAGGGAGACCTGCACAGCACTCCCTGGGCTGCTGTCTGTGCTTCTCAGTGGGCAAGCTAGGCCTCAGGCCTCACCCTCCTGTCTGGAGCCTCCACTCTTCCCTGGTCACCATGGCAGAGGAATGGACCTTTGAATGTGCTTCCATGCCCTGCCTTCCTCTTTGGAGGCCAGACCCCACATCATATAAAACACTTTACAACGTCCCACATCCCATAGTCAACATATAAATAATTTTTTGCTCTAAAAATGTTTGATGGGATTTCTATAATTATGATCTTGATGTTATCTGAGTATGAGAAATTCATTTTAACGTATGTTTCTCTACAACTTCTTGGAAATCATCACAGCTATGCAGAAATCCTGGCTGAGCAAGGAAAAGCCGACCTACAAATTATTTGCAAAGGCAATGACATTTTTTATGATTATTATGAAGTTGCCATAATATTATGCTTTGTAGACATTTAATTAAATGCTTATTAATTTTAATTTTGCTCTTTTTTTGGGTTTTGGAGCCAATGTACAGTTGACCCTGGAACAATACAGAGGTTAGGAGCAGGACCCCCATGCAGTTGAAAACCCATGATTAACTTTTGACTCCCCAAAACTGAAGTACTAAACACCTACTGTTGACTGGAAGCCTTAATGTTAACATAAACAGTCCATGAACACATATTTTGTATATTCCATGTATTATATACTGTATTCTTACAATAAATAAGCTAGAGAAAAGAAAATATCAATTATAAGATGAAGAAAATGTACAGTACAGTATTTACTGTACTGTACAGTGTTTATTGAAGAAAATCGCATACGAGTGGACCCGTGCAATTCAAACTGGTATTATTCAAAGGTCAGCTCTATTTTTCTTAGGCCACAGACATTTCATAGGCCACTTGAAAGCTGGCAGGTGCATGTGCTGGGCCTACAGTCTAAGGAATGAACTGTTGAGGCCTCTGCCTGGCTCTGGCCAGGCCCAGAATGTGGCCCTCTGAGGAGGCTGCTCAGTCACATGCCCTGAGACCCCAACCAGGGGAAAAGTGTGAAGGTCTTGATGCCAGTTGTAAGATCTCAGCAGGGTCCCAGAGGGCCCGAGTCTCTCTGCCCATCTGGCCCAGCTGAGTCGAAGTAGCCCACACCTGCCAAGGCTCCAGGGGGCTGTAGGTCCCTCCCGATGGCTCCAGACTCCCCTGCCTGCCTGTCTCTCAGGGCCACACTGGCAGCTGGTTATTTCCTAAGCAAACCCAGCATCGGCCCCCCTTCCCAGGGCCGTGAGCTGAAGGCGGCTGGATGGTGGAGCATCATCTCGTGTCCCAGCACCTCCCATCTTCAGTCTGGACAGCTTTTGTTGCTTATGTAAAATGCTAAACAGATGCAGCTTCAGTCCTCTCCCTTTTCTAACCAGATTCCCCCACAGCTGTCCTGCATGGAAATTCTGGGCTGCCTCTGGCGGCTCCCAATTCCTTGGAACCCTTCTCAAAGGGCTCAGTGACACTTTGCAGTTCCCAAGGTCACTTAGATTAGATGTCAACGTCTGGTGGACAGGCACCACCTTTGCACAGCCTGTGGACCTGCCCTGTGCCCGAGGTGGGTGTGCTTGGGGCCAGAGAGTCGGCCCTGGGAGTCCACATGAGGTCCTGTCCCCTCAAGCCTCTGGGGAATCCAGTGACCAGAAGGAAGTGGCCAACTTGGAGGAAGTGGCTGCTGTATATGAAAAGGGGAAATTTGGGTGGTGAGCTTGCTCCCACCCTGGAGGCCCTGGATCTCCCTGAGCTCAGGAACACCTATGAAGAAATCCCAGCAGCCAAGAGCAAGGAGACTGGATGGACACGCAAGGTGGGCTCCAGGGCAGGGCAGGCTGCACAGCGGGCTCCATGGTGGGGCGGATGGGCACCCACCCTAGGGGGCCCCTGTTGGTAGGAGGGATTTGCAGCCCCCAGCCAGGGCAGGGCAGGTGACCTGACCTCTTTTCCTGCCCAGAGGTGCCCATAACTTTCCAGCTCTAACATCTCCTTGGAAGTGGTGGGAGAGACAGCTGTCAGGTTTGGATGTAAACTGGGGCTCCTGGTGTTTCTGGGGTTTTCCTCTGCAGTCCACTCGGCCACTGCAGGAGTCCCAGGGCCTGAGAGGTGGGAAAAGGCCCTGGCTCCAGGTTTGACTTGCCTCAGCCCAGTCATGGCTCAGCCACTCCCCAGCCATGTGGCTTTGGGCAAGAGTTTCCTGACAGGTTGGAGATTTAGCAAGATAAGATACAGGATACCCACTCAATTTGAATTTCAGATAAACAATAAGCATTCTTTTTTTTTAAGCATAATTATATCCCAAAACATTATTCCTTGTTTATCGGAGCCAAATTTCTTTGGGCATCTTACTCAGCAGCCCACCCAGGACCTCCCTTTCATCCTCTGTAGAACGGCCGGTCCTCCTGCTGTGTTCAGGGGTGGCTGCCCAGGGGGTAGTCCTAGACATCCTCAAGCGCTCAGGACACAGCCTAGAGCCTTCTAGAAGTGGAGTATTGTTTCTGAGGCTAGGAAAGGATGGCCAGCAGGGATCAGAAGGGCAGAGGGCAGATGTGAGGGGTCCCCAGAGAGGCAGAGGAACCCTCCTCAGCCCTGACCCCCACACGCTTTGCCTACGCCTGGAGCCAGTGAACCAGAGTCCGCACCACTTCGGGACAGCCTCAGATCTTGGGCACATGCACCCCCTCTCCTGGACTGAACAGCCAAAGCCCGAGACCCCTCTGGATGGCCTTCCCAGCGAGTCCCACCGCTCCCCCTCCGGGATGGGGAAGGTCCTCGCAGGCTGCCTGTGGACAGTCCTTCTGAGAGCCACAAGCCACGTGCCATGTCAGCTCTGCCCCTGGCTGTAAGGTCCCTCATCCTTCCTGCTCCCTGGTAACACCATGTATGACAGACCCCAGCCTACCTAGGACACGTGTCTGTCCCACCGCCCCGGGGAGCAGAAAGCTCCAGGTAGGGGAGGTGCAGTTGGCCTTCCGTCTCCACCCCTTCCCAGGCTCCCCCTCCCTCCTCCCACACTGCAGGCTGGGGCTGGAACTCCCCGCACAGAGGGAGGCCTGTGGACCACCATCAAGTCCCAGCCTGGCCTTTCCCTGGGCTTCACCCGAGCCCAGCCAGTGGTGATGGGCCCTCAGTGAGCTGGGATATGGCTCGAGCGTCTTCTCCCTCTGCAGCCTGGCAAGCCCCAGAGGATCTTCTTTGTGGACGAGAAGCGCAAAGCCTGAGGAGGACCTGGCTTCCAGCAGCCACCAGTGGTTTCCCAGCCTGGGCCACATTGGGAATTATTGGGGTGCTCCCAGACCCTCAGACCCGCCACCCTGCCATGGAACCTGGCTCAGAGAACAGGGGAATGCCTGCCCGGAGATGGGTGGGAGGGGACCTTCAAGCTGCAGGCAGCTCCAGGCTGTGTCCCGCTCCCCAGCACCTCTCACACTCCTGGAGGGGGAAATAAAGGCTGAGAGGACCAAGACTGACCGAAGGCAGGGGCCAGACCCCCATGTCCATGACGGACGTTCTGAGCTGGGCTGGTGGCCTAGCCTGCCTCCCACCACTGACCTCAATGGAGCACGTGGAGGCCCTTGCTTGGAAAGGCATTTTCCTAAGTGACATCATGCAACTGCTCCTGGGGCCACACCAGTTCCCTACTCAGGGCCTATCAGCAGAAAGGAGGGGAGGCCGGGAGCCACAACTCTCTCCTGCCTCAGGGACGGTGGGGCAGGAGGGAGTCTCAGCAAAGCCCCCACCTGAGGGTCTGGGCTCCCAGAGCCCCAGCCTTCATCCCAGCCTCACCCTGCAAACGCGAGAGACCCTGGTCTGGCCCTGCACAGACTGGCTCAGCTCACATTTGTGGAGGAAATATACCCTCAGCTGCCCCTGGGCTCTGCAGCTTCTCCTGCTGAAAAATGTGGCTCTGTGAGCCCACTTCCCAGGGCGTTATGAGAACTGAAAGGAGGCAGCCAGCCCTGTGCCTACACCCCACAAACATTCATGGGAATTGTTATTGCTGAGTGAAATGGAAACAATTCTACCCTAAAGTCCTTTGTGGGGCTCACATGAAGATTTGGGGCACAGATGTGTGTTCCTCCCATAGGCATGGCATTGAAATAAAAGCTAATGTCTAAAGGAGGAAGGCCGGGCCACCCCGAGATGATGCTCCGATCGGGTTTCAAGGTCCAGAGGGTCATTTCCTGACGCTGGCACACACAGAACACAGGGACCTGACGGTGTTTACTCCCAGAAGTTCACAAACCTTTGGACAGCACACACCAGTGAGGATTCCACATCGAGAGGAGGCAGATGGGGTGGTGCTCTGGGTGCTCAGGACACAGAACCAGAGGCAAGGATGGAGCCCTCGGACCCCCTGTTCACATAGCATCATGCAGGGGGCTGGAGGGAGGAGGGGAATGGGGGAGCAACCGGCTGTGGGTCCTGCAGGGAGATTGCATAGCTCATTAAAACCTGTCCTCTTGTTTTTTCCACTTTGCCCTGGGTGACCAGGGGCCCGGCCAGCACTTGGACAAGTCCAAACCTGCCCATTAGGCTTCTGATGAGGAGAGGACCAAGGGGTAGGGGACTTAGGGGACAGAGGGAGGGCCTGGTGAGGGGCCACAGGTCCTAGGCCGGACTGCAGGAGCTGGGCAGGGCCCTGCTCCTCACATCCCCTTCCCTGGTTAAGGATTTTTTGCTGAAAGGGCCGAGGAAATGTCCGTTGGTGTCACCTTGAGGCCACCACTCCTGTCCTGGGGAGCTCAGAGGTCATGCTTATACAGACAGCCAAGCTGGATGGACGCACTGCACCCTATAGCCTTGGTGCTGTCCTCAGATCCGGATGTGGAAAGTGCTGGAAATACAGAGGGAAAGAGGGTGAGAGGGCTGGGCTGGGTGGGTGAGGGCTCCTCAGCAAAAGGTCACCCAGGAGGACACAGAGGACACAGATCTTTCCACCCAAGGAGCAGCTGCCCCACATAACCATGGGGCCCAGGCCTCACCCCAGCCCTGCAGGGCACAGAGAATTTCCCACCACCCACTGTAGGGAGCTGACCTGGACTGTGACCCCCTGCCCCAGCAGGCCCCTGGGGGCACCTGAGGAAGTCGGGAGCCTTGGCAATCATGTCCTCAAAGTCGGCAAAGCCCAGCTTGCCGTCGCCGTCCAGGTCTGCCTCCTCGATGACCTTGTTGCACACGAGCACCACCTCGTCCTCGTCCAGCTCGGCCTTGGTGAGCCGTGCCAGCGTCAGCTCCAGGTCCTCCTTGCAGATGAAGTTGTCTGTGTTGAAGTCTGCGGGTGCAGGCAGAGACACTCAGGGAGGGTACCTGCACACTCTGGGGACACTGACAGGGATGGGGGGATGCCCACAGTACAGAGTAACACCACACTCCACAGGCCAACTCCCGTGGCCCCCACAGAACCCCAATGTCTGCAGGTGTGACCCGAGACCCTCTAGAAGTCCAAACCTTGGCTTCCTGGGAATTTCAGGCCCTCCTGGCCTCGCCCCACAGTGGGCCATGTATTTCCTCCAGAGCTGAGGAAGCAGCCCAGGGAGGTCAGGTGACTGAATCAGGGCCAGAGGGCTGCTCAGAGAGGAGCCAGGGCCCTGGCAGGACCCACCTCCTCTAAATCTCAGCACGCAGGGTCAGGACCCTCAGCAGCAGCAGGCCGTGGGGCAGGGACCAGGTTTGAGTCTGCCTGGCAAGTGACACCATCGCTGCCCCACAGACAGCAGAATGGTTTGGACGAGCACATGGGCCGGACACGAACCCTCACTCCCTTCTGACCATGTGCTTGACCTGATGCCCAGAGGTTCTGCCTGGGTTGCTCCTCCCGCTTACCTGTCAGCAAACTCCACTCACCCTTCAATGCAAACGTCCTTTCTTGGGGGGTTTTGTGGACATGCGGGCTGCCACTGCTGAGGCCCCTGCCCACGGGTCACACCCTGACACTGTGGGAGCCACGGGGAGATACCTGCTGACGCAGACACCATGCTCCATGGCATTTAATTTTCAACATAAGCTTAATTAGCAGGTGCAGAGTCCCTGCTGTCCAGGGAAACGAGGAAACGAGGTCTGGAAGGGACAGGTGACCTGAGGTTGCACCCCGGGTCTGGGCTGACCCCTACACTGCCACCTCCCTGCAGGCCTGCGACTGCCGGGCGCAGGCACAAGGCGGGGTTCCTCTCTGCCCTCCTGTGGCCCCTGGAATGCTCTCTGCAGAGATCTGCTGGCTGACTGGAGGGTGGTACTTCTGCGCCCATGTCATCCGAGGCCCAGGCCCAGGAGGGGTGCTCCTCGCCAGAGGCCAAGCCCCAATTCTCCCAGAACCAACCCCCAGGTCCCAGCTGTCTCCCTCTCCACCCCCGAGCCCAGCGCAGCCAGGTGCCTCTCTGTCCCCTCACCTGTTCCTGCCTGCCCACCCGGGGGCCGCGCTGGCTGTCTGTGGGCCCGAGACCAGAGGGCTGGCAGGTGGAATCGAGGAGCTTCTCACAGAACCGCGGGCAGTTTGTGGAGGGCAGGCAAGGCGGCGTTGCCCTTCTGGCGTGCGAACAGTGAGGGTGCACAGGTGCCCTAGACCCGTGCTCCCTAGCGACCACCTCCACAACGGAAGCCGCCTGCCTTAGGGCCCGCTCTTGACCGAAAGAGCTGGGCCAGGAGGCTTATGCGCGGCTCCTCTGGCCCAGGCCGGGTCCCAGCGCCTCCCTGGGCCCCCACGGCCGCTGTGAGGTCGTGACTCCCGGCCTCCTGCGCCCGAGGTGAGCCCTGCAGGCGTGCTGGGTCCCCGCGCTGCTGGAGGACCGGGCGCCTCGTCTGTGCTGGCGCCCTCTGGTGGCCGGTGGGGGCGCGGCGCTGAGGCCGCCGGGCTGGGCAGAGGCCGCTCCACTGGATGGGCTGCGGCCGGCCCGGCCTCCTTTCCAGCCCCTGGCCTGGCTAATCCAGCCCACCTCCAGGATGCTGAGATCTTTCCAGAACACAGAGCTGCCCTGCCCCGCCTGCAACCTGCAGTGCCCCCCGCCAGGTCCAATCTCCTTGGCTGGCTACTCGCCGGCCCTCCAGGCTCCCCATTACGCCCCCGTCCCCGCATCCCCTCACCTTCCGGCTCCCGGACCCTCGGGCTGCTCCCCGTGCACGTTTGCTGCCTCGCTCCTTTGACCCCGCCGCACAACCCCTCCGGCGCCCCTCCTGCGGGGCCGCCCCGCTGGCGCGCTCAGAACCGCCCCGGGCCCCCTTACCGTAGATCTTGAAGGCGTAGTTTGCCTTGAGCTCTCGCGGCGCCGACTCGCAGAGCACGGAAAACATGTCCACGAAGTCGTTGAAGGTGAGGTTCCCCTCGCCGTCCTCAGAAAACGACTCCACGATCCTTTCCTTGAAGGGATTCTCCTGCGGGAACAGCCAGGTGTGCAGCGCACAGCCCGGCCGCGGAGGCTCCCGGCGTCAGGTGCAGACACCGTGAGCAGCCAGGGGGGTGCCGGCGCTCGGCCATCCCTCGAGGGGCCCGCAGCCCCGGGCAGCGGCGCTCACCGGCTCTGGGGCCCCTGCTGCCGCCCCACCCGGAGGCCTCACCTACCCGGAGCTCCGGCATCTGGACGATGAGGCTCATGGGCACGTGCACGATGGGGCTCTTCCTGTAGTCCATGGGGACAAGGTTGGGGGCCAGCTCGTAGAACCGTGCGTGCAGCCTGCGGGGCGGGGAGGAGCTCTGCAGCAGATGGCCCTGCCCTCCCTGCCAGCAGGCTGCTAGGCCAGGGGCCCCGGGGAGGCCGTCCACTCTGCACACGGGATGGCGATTGTGAGGCCACCCTGGCCAGACCCGTGCTGACCGCAAGACCACGTCCCTGCCCTGTCCCTGCGGTACTGTAGCGGCTGCCACCTCCTCCTCCTCCACCACCTCCACCGCGTTCTCCACCATCATCGCCTCCACCAACTGCCACCACAGCCCATTCCGCCCCCAGGGGCCTGCAACCAGATCCTTTAATTTTTTTCTGCTTGGCGCTTCTAAGGGTCTTCTGTGAATGTCACATCCCCTCATTCAGTTCTCCCCATGATTGTACAGAAAGATGCACCGTGACCCCAGTTTACAATTCAGCAAACTGAGGCTTGAAGAGCTTAAGAGCAATTTGTCTAGGACCACAAGCTAGAAGCATCAGGAGCATAGCTGGAATGAGACTAGAATCTCAGCACAGGAACTCTTACATGCTCTTCCCCGCACTGTACCTGAAACAGTTGGCAGGCCGTTCACTGGCCTGCATCCACCCAGGTCCCGGGGTTTGGGTCTCTTGAAGAGCTCCCAGCTGCCCTCTCATCCTTGGGGAGCTGAATGGCCCACCCACAACCTCTCCCGCTGGGAGCCGTGGGGACCAAGCCCGTTGCCTGGAGGCCTTCTTTACTGAGGGGACCCCACTTCCCTCCCCTCATCCCCTTCTCAGCAACCTGGTGCTCTGGAGGCCTGGACCACAAGCCCCTATGTGCTGCGTGGACCATCAAGGGGTGAGGCATCCTGACACTGTGTCAGATGGAAGCCCCTCTCCTGTCATTTGGTCTTCTTCTGCCCCGTGTCCCCTTCCTATGTCCCTGACATCCAGAGAATAGCACCCTACTCCAACCCCCAGACAGGTACAAATTGGGCTCAGTTGAAGTTGTCCATGAAGTGCTGCCAGATAGGGGGACAAGGGTAAGGGGTGCTGACTGGCAGCCGCAGCAGGTAGCCTGCCCCAGGTAAGGCCAAGGGTGTGAGGATTGGACCAAGGTGTGACCCCACACCTCCTGGCCCTGCCTGCCCAGCTACCTGCAAAGCCAGATCAACCCTGGCCTCTTCTAAGTGGCCTGGCCCAGGTACATACCCCTGGACCATCTCAGCAGACTGTTCGGCTCAGCCCCCTGATGCCCCATCAGGATCCACCCAGTCCTTGTCACCCTGCTGCCAGCCCTCTGCAGCCAAGCAGGTAGCTGCTGCCCAGCTCAGGCGGATACCTCAGCCACGGTTCAGCGAGTGTTCATCTCTGCTAGGCTTTGGGTTAACTCTGTTAGGTAACTTCACTCAATTGAATCCCCAAACCACTCTAAGAGAGTAGATAATAGTCTCTCCATTCTTCAGGAAGGAACCTTTGCTCAGAGAGGTGCCTGTCCCAGCTCATAGAGCCAATGAGCAGGGGGGTGGGGTGGGGGAGGCAGGCAGGCCCTCTGAATTCCACCATTTGGCTCCTTCCTGCAAGTCAGGCCAGGTCATGTGTCAGCACCTGTCTCAGAGCATGTGCATGGGAAACAAAAGGCAAAATGCCATCAGCCCACTTTCCCAGCCACACATTCCTGCAAAAGGGCCTGATTTCACTAGGAAGCTCCATGGCTTGGACACACAGAGCTGGAGGGAGAAAACCCCAAACCCCATCCTTTGGGTGCGAGGGTTCAGCAGATACCAGTGACAGGATGGAACTGGGGCTCTCCACAAGGTGGCATTCGAGGACTTTCTTTGCTCTTACTTTCTGCTGATGGAAAAGGTACCACTTTTACACTGTCCCAAAACATGGAACCAGGACTTGATCACACTTTATGGGTCTGTTTTTATGTGCTTTTGACAGATCCGTTGAGTTTCCAGTGGTTCATTTTCCACTTGATTTGGCTCTTGACATGTTGGATGTGTGTTGGGGGTTTCTGGGGGCTGCCACACACCTCCCAACTTCAGAGGGGTGACTACAGCGGGAGCTGGGTCAGGCCGTGGTTGTAGACCACTGATGACCCACGGTGAATAAATCTCCCTATCAGTAAAATGGGGGCTGTCCTCCCAACCTCACACTTGTGTGGATTAACTAGGATGGCATTTGTGAAACCACCTGACCCCCACCCCCTGGTGGCTATCAGTGCCAATCCCGCCAGGGGCTCCCTGCAAGGTGGGGGCTGTGAGTCCTGGCAGGCTCAGGAGGTGCCTTCTGGGGTGGGAAAGCCGACCTTTGCCCTGGGGCACAGATCTGTTCTGACTCCATGACTAAAATGGCATCGGAATTTTTTTAAGGAAACCTCAAGGGAAATTTGGAAGGCGGAATCACTCCAAAAATTGTCAAAGACCATCCCTGTTACCCCTCCTCCCAGTGAAGGGCTCTAATGGCTCAAGATTTACATGTAGTCCTATTGTGAGATCCAGGATCACAAGTAACACCTGGGCTATTGGACTGTGCCAGAGCATGGGGCCAAAGGGGGAAGGCCTGCCATTCTGCTTAGAAAGTGAGGGAGAGGCCAGCTGCCAGACCCAGTAGGGAGCACCCACAATGCGACAACACAACGGCATCTACACGTGCAGATGCACAGATCTTATAAAATAACATTGGAAAGGTAAGTCTGAAGCATTTGAGAGAGTAACACATCAGGACCAAATGGGATTAATTCCAGGAATGCAAGGTTGGATCAACATTTGAAAATGTGTGACTGCAAATCCTATTAAGAAAAAAAAATATTTTGACCATCCTGATAGCTGCATTTATGACTGGATGGCTGTACGGACCCAGGAAAACACGTGAGCACATACATCACATGTTAGCACCGATGGATCCTGCGGAGGGCATTAGGAGGGGTGATAAGACGGAGCCCCCCGTTCACTGACTCCCTCACCTACTTTTGGATCATTTGAGTTTTTAGAGTATTTATTAATAAAAATAAAAAAGTATTTGTAAAGTATGTATTGATTTTTCTAAGTAAAAAACTTAAAATCCTTAGCAAAACAGAAACAAAAGGATACTCTCTACCTCAAATCAATGCCCAACATCATACTTCAATGATAAAATACTAGAGACAGTCCCATAAAAGTGGGGTGCCGACTATCACCATCATTATGTAGCGTTACCCTGTGAGTGCTAGTCAGTGCAATTAGTTGGGAAAATAAAATGGAATATTTAAATATTGGAAAACAAATTACTTTTTGCTGGAAAACCAAAAAGAATCAGTTAAAACTCTCTGAATGAGAAACATCTTGGTAGCTCTCCCACACAATAGTTTTTCTGCACCTCAGCATTAACCTATTAAAAAATAAGGTACAAAGAAAAGCTAATTCACAATACAAAAAAATACCCAAATACCCCCCAAGCAATTAAATATAAAATAAATATGAAATGCATACGAAGAAAACCATGAAATTTTGCCAAAAGATATAAAACATTTAGGTAGTTCAATAACCAACTTATATTCCTGACCGGAAAAGCTTAATACTGTAATGATAATATGCTCTTCATTTTCCTGCAAAACAAATAGAATCCTAATAGAGATCTGCAAAGGACTGAGAACCTGTCAGCCTGACTCACAAGTTTGTTTGGAAGGATAAATGCAGAAGAACTGGGGGGGGAAACCCTGAAAAATGAGCAGCTGGAAAACACCGGCCCATCAGATGTTACACCATAGTTTAGAGTTATAATAAGTAAACGTGTGCAATAGACTCTGGCATAGATGAGGCAGACCAGGAGAAGAGGCAGACGGAATATAAATAAGAATTAGTGGAAAGTCGCAGACTGGCTGATGGTCCACATTTATGTCTCGCTTTCACATAATAATTAAAATGATAATTTCAAATATAGCTGCTGACACTTATAAGTTCAAACACTACAGGGAAAGCCTGGATTCCCTGATCACGCTGGGCCTGTGTGCCCCAAGGCAATCTAGGCGGGCTCAGGAGCAGTTATTTTTGCAGGTCTCAGCCCTAAAGGGTTCCCACAGACTGGGTGGCTTCATTTATTAATTTATATACAGCGCATGTTGGACCCTGAAGGCAGCTGAGCTTGAGACGCTTGGGATGGTCGGTGAATGATCTGGGGGTCAGAGGACAGAAAGGATACACGAGCCGGTGTGACTGAGGAAGGAGGGAGATGGGCACTTGCTCACACACAGCCTGGGGTGGTGGTTCAGCCCCTCTGGAGGGCAATGAGCAGTGCAGGTCAAAAGCCTTAAAAATGGCTAGACCTTGGTCCTCCTGTAGTTCATAGGCACGGCTGTATGTTCATGCTTTCCCGTGATGTGTGCCTCCCTCAAACCTTGTGGACGCTGGCACATTGCCTAACTTGAAAAAAAAAGTTGCACTGATGATTGTAATAGCAAAATGTTGAAAACCTAAGTGCAAACTACATGGATTAAGGAGGAGGTGAGATCATCTTTTCTCTTACATTTTTACCTAAGGAAAAGCAGTTTTGAGCAAATTACAAAACAACATGATGCAGATTCTTGATAAACACACACGAAAGAAAAGTACTGGCATGATATATACCAAAGGTTAATAGTACTTCTGGGTGATAGCATTTTAGGTTATGTTTTGCCCTCTCTTGACTGGCTTTATTTTCTAAATTTTCTGCCCTCATCATGTATCACATGTGGAATAAAAAATTGGAAGTAATTAAAATAGATTATACAGAGTTTTTAAAAGGCTGAGAAAATAAATCGGCCAATACCTTGGGGGACTAGCAGGGAGGGCCTCTCTCTGCCCTGAGGGACCAGGACCCGTGTCCCACTGACGGTTCTGGGCACCTCCTCCTGACTCCTCGCCACCTGCTCTGTCACTTATAACTTATTTTTATTTACTTATTGTAAAACTTTTCATATTTACTTATTGTAACTTTACGGTTTAACAGCCTAAGTGGGGGTGCTGGAGTCAGAGAGCTAAGTTCCTGATGGGTAGGAGGCGCCCTGGGGCTCAGCATCAGGGTGGAAGGGCTGAGCCCTGGGGAGTAACTGGATCCCCCCGGGCCAAGAAGGGAGTGGGGCTGTGGTTACCCGACTCCCACCAGAACCTGCCCTTGAGTTTCCTCAGCGCCACGTGCCAGCAATCGGTCTGCAGCTCCCTCGGAGAACCTTCCAACTGGGGGAGGGGGCTGCAGGGAGGGTCCTGGTCTGGGCCTGGCCCTGCGGCCGAGCTGCTGTGCATCACTGGGCAGTTCCCTACTCCTGGCTAGCTCTGGGCTGCAGGCCTCATTGCCCACTTGGACCGGAGATGTGATCAGTGGAGCAGGCTCCCCTGGCAGGAGTGGTCAGCTGGACTGGCCTTTGCTGAGGCCCAAGGGAAGTCTGGAGAAGAGTGAACAGCTGCACCTGGCTGGCTATCAAACCACGCCGGGGCTCTTCCAGGACCACACACTCTGGTCTCCTCACCCTTCCTGAGGGTGGGCAGGTAGGAAACCACTGCAAGCAGCCCTGGGTGGCACTGAATGACAGTCACCCCAGCCCTCTCAGCCGCAGGGCTCGGAGGAGATGGCATTCCTCGGAAAGGAACACTGTTATCCCCATGCTGCAGAAACGGCATCTGAGACACGGCAGGTGCTACGTGGCGGGGACCACATCCCAGGGCTCCTGCTACCTCTGGGCCCTGGGTTGCGCTACAGAGGCTGGGGTGCTGACGGGGGCTAGGGCTGTGGGCAGCCAGAAACCCCACCGTCCTCCCACCTCCTGGGGCTCATTTGCCAAGAGATCAGGGACACCCCTGAAGGCCTATCCTGTTGAGTCCAGCCTGGCCTTTGAGATACCCTTTTCCCCACAGGCAACCATGCTTCTGTCAGTATGACCATTGGAGGGAGGGACAGATGAGGCAGGCCTGTGCCCTTGACCCTGCACTCCTGGCCTGGAAGCCCCCCGACTGGCCAACCCTTGTCCTTTACTCACACACTGTTCAAGTGCTTGCTGGTGGCTAAGAGGTGCCATGTCCAATGCAGGTGCAGGGAGCCTGGGTTCTGCTTGCCTGCCTGTAAGTCGGGGGGCTGGGCACCTGAGCCATGGGCCCACAGAGCCCTCCAAAAGGCTGTAAGAGTGGCTATATGACTGCTGGGGCAGTGGGGAGTTGGGGGGCTGTCAAAGTAGATGACTTGGGTTGGGCTTTGAAGGCTGTATAGGAGTGTGGTGGGTGAGAGAGGGCAGCCCAGGCAGCAGGGCTGGCCAGTGCAAAGACCTGGACAAGCTTCTGTTGCCAGAATAGAAATCGCTGTGGGCCTCAGAAGACATGCAGCCTGGGCTCGGTGCCCACACAGGAGGGAGGCTGGGATGGCAGGAGCTCCCAGCCACAGAGGGTGAACACGGGGAATTACATGACATGAGGACTGTGCCAAGAACTCTGAAAGGTAAGAGATGCCACAGAAAGCTGGATGCTGGCTGTGTCACCACAGCTCTAGGAATACCCCATCCGAATGCACACCCACCCCACACATCCCTCAAACTACAGCCAAAGTCCCATTTTCAAACACCAGCCCTGGTATCCCTGCCTCTGGGAACTGCTGTGTGGGCAAGTATGGTTACCCCATTTCATAGGGGGTTCTAAGGCTCAAAGTGCACCCCTCAGCTACAGAGCAGGTGTCAGAGTAGGGCCCAGGCCCACTGATGCCAAAGCCTGGGGGCTTCGCCCCTCATCCTGCCTGTCTGAACTGGGCTATCCCAGCCCACCCAGGGGACAGGTTGGCAGAGCAGCCTGGGTAGGGAGGAAAGGCCAAAGGATACTGCCTGTCCCTACAGAGCGGCCAGGACAGTGACAAACCACAGCTCTCTTGGGAAGCTGTGACAGGCCATCAGCCTCCAGGGAAAGCCATCCGAGGCCCTGCTGGCTTTTACCCGTTACCTGATAGCCCAGCATGGGGCCAGGTTTCCTGGCATTCTGAGTATGCTCACTGTCTGGTCCTGGGGCTCCGAGGCTGCCAAGCCCCTCCATGTCTCTCTGCTAGGCCCATCTCCCCAAACTCCAAAGAAAGGGGTTATCCTGGAAAGCAGAGACCCCTGCAGGACAGCTCAGGGGTAATGGGGCATTGAAGACCATGGCCCTGACCTTTGGACCTGCCAGCATGGGAAGGGCATCTGAGCTGGATGCCAAGGGACCCCTAGTCTTACACACAGGGATCCCCAGTCTGGCAGGCCCCAGGACACCATGAAATAGCAAGGGGCCCAGGATCAGAGCCACAGCTCTGCCTCGGGCTGTGTGACTCTGGCCCAGTTGCTGAGCCCTATCTGTAAAGTAGGGGAAAAAGGGCTCTCCTGATTCAAGGACACAGTAGCGACATGAAAATCGGCCTGAAACCACCCACCAGAGCTGCACAGAGAGTCAATTCCTACAGAAGGATGCGGCCTAGGAGGGGTGGGAAATGCTGAGCCCACACCTGCACTGGCTCTTCCCTGCTCCGGAGTGCAGCCCGCCCATGGGGGTCCCTGCCCCATCCCAGCTCCAAAGGCGGGAGCCACACTTACTTGAGGATGTCCTTCTTATTGAAGAAAGTGCAGTCCTGTGGAGGGAAACACAGTCAGGGTCTCGCTCTCCTTCCCGCTCAGAGCCCCCCGGGCGCAGCCCTGCCTAGGGCAGAGGAGTCACTACTCAGCCCTGTTCCTGCACTGGCGACAGCAGTCCTGGCGGCCTCCCCAGGATCTCCACTGCCCAGGCAGCTCGGCACCCGGGGTGGGAGGCGGAGGCACCCTGGGGGCACATGGAGAGTCACGGGCGATGTCGTTCATTGCAGGGGCTAGTGGACACCAGGGAAAGTGGCTGGGTGCAGGCTCAGGAGTGAGTGTGGATAAGGCTGCCCCTGAGAGGGGGGCCTGGGGGTTGGAGGCATCAGCAGCCGCCTGAAGCCCACCAGGCAGCTGGACCAGCGGCAGCGGAGGGCAGGGGTGTGGGAAAGAAAGAGGCACCAGAGAGGATGTGGGCAGGGACGAACCGGTGGCATCCAGACAGAGGCAGGAGCATTACTCACGGTGGGGGCAGCACTCGAGGCCTGAGGTGGCACAGATTATAAACTCATCTTGGGGGCCCTGCCTTAGGGTGATACCCCCCTCCCACAGCCCCGTCTGCCGGGTGACTGCAGCCACGATGCCAGGCCTTAGTGGGAAGTGTGGAGGTGCGAAGGACCAGCCCTGGTGAAATGCCCAGCTATCCCCTGCTCTCTGGTGGCTCTGCTTATGCCAAGGCTGTAGCCTGAGGGCAGAGGGTGCCTCCGGCCCTGCAGAGCCAGAGCCCGTGGGTGGTATGCCAACCAGACCTGGCTCTGTGGCCCAGGCTTGCAGGCGGTGAGCCTGCGTGGGCTGGGGTCCCTGGACTGCACATCGAGGGACCAAAGATTGGGCCTCCAGGATGCACACAACCATGACTTCCATGCCATGCCTGCAGGAGCGCTGAGGAGGGGTCCGGTGGGAATTTCCAGGCCCCAGTTAACTTCACCAGCCTGTTTCCCGGAGTTAGACTAAGGACCCCTGTGCTGCCCTGCCTGTCCTGGAACATAAGGGGCCCAGGTTTTGTTTTGGCAGTAGCCCCTGTGGAGGAGCCAGGAGAGGCTCAGGCGGGGAGGCAGTGCTGCCCCACCTGGCATGGACAAGCTCTCTGTGGCAGGCTGGGGATGTGGGCTTTACTGCTCAGCAGACCTCAGAAACCTGGGGCGGGCAGTGAAAGCAGGCCTTCCACCAGACCTCCCTCGGCTCCAGGGCTGATGCCACCGCCTGAAGGTGCCCAGCAAGGAGGACTAGGGCTCTCCCAGTTGGCCTGCTGGGGGGTGTCAGCATACCTGGGAACAGGAGTGGTCCTGGCTTCTGCTGTCTTTTCCCCATCCTCTCCTTCCCCTGGGCCCTGGGCTGCAAAGGACGCACCTGGTTCTGACTCAATGGTCACACTCTCCCTTGCCATACTACTTACACCTGTCTACATTGGTGATCCTCCAGGTGCAGTCCCTAGACCAGTGGCATCAGCATCATCTGGGGACTGAGTAGAAATTCGGGTTCCCAGGCCTCACTCCAGACCTAAATCTGGGGATGGGGCCCAGGAATCTGCCTTTTCAAAAAGCTCAACCTGTGAGGGTGGTGGTCACTGAAGAGTGAGGGCCTCTGCTCTTGAGCAGAATCATCTGGGGAGCTGTTTAAACATATGTGCCCCCTCCCACCACCACCAACAGATCCTAGCTTTCTCCAAAGGGAATCCCTGGGGGCAGATGCAGGCATCAGCAGTTTTTGAAGTCACTCAGGCGATTGCCATGTGCAGCCTGAGCCGAGAACCACACCACAACCAGTCGTGGTTACAGGGTTTGTCCAGGGGGTCCAATGTTTGCTCCCCATTGCTAGCCTATGGGGCAGGTGCTATTTCCCATTTTATATGTGGGAAACAGTTTCAATAAAGATGAACAGCTCACCCTTACTGCACATGCAGCTGGGAGGGCGGGGCTGGAACTCAGGCCTCTGTGCTTCCTGCCCACAACTCACCGATGGGGACAGAGCTGTTGTCCACCCATCGTGCACCAACCATGGCCTGCTTCTGCTGTGTGTCCTTTTGCTGGCACACAGCAAGTGTTCAATCCAGGCTGGTGGGACAAGTGGTCAGAGTTCTGCGTACAGCCACCACAGCACTTATGTTACCATCTGCCTGGCTGCACAGTATTTCACTGACTGTTGGCTCTGTTTAATCTAACCTTTCTCTTCCCTGGGAACATTTAGCAACAGCTGTTTCTAGGTTCTCAGTGTTACAAAGAAGCTGCCAAGTGCCGGCTCACAGCCTCATGTTTCTTCTGTGGACTTTACTGCCCTGGGAGTTGCCGGGAAGGTAGCTCACAGGGGGTGACGGCAGGTGCCTGAGAGCTCTCAGGGCTCCGAGGAACCTCGCTGGCCGAGGCGAAGGTTAGCAGGCAGATTCCTCTCACCTTGCTCCGGGCCCTTGGGGACATCATCCCCTTTCCTGAGCCTCGGCCTCTGCAGCTATAAAGTGGGGGTCCTGCCTCTCCGAACGGGACAGTGAGGAGCAAACGAGGCAAGGTGCTGGAGGCCTATCGGCACGGCTAACAGGGTTCTTTGCCCCTTTTGTGCACCGCCCCTTCCACTACCCCAAGTCCCTTCAGAGCCTGCAGCTCCGTGTCTGCCCCACGGAAGTCTCCAGATGAAAGTCCTGCCTCCTCCACACACTCAGCTGCCTGGGGAGCCACAGACATAGGCCTGCAGGAATTCTGCCCTGTGCTCCACTGAGAATGAATGTCCTGGCTTGGCATGGCCCTGGCAATTCATGGGGTGGGTCTCCAGGTCCAGGCTCAGGCTGGCGGTGGCGGCGGGCGCGGGGAGTGAGGGGGAAGGGGGCCCAGCCCAGAAGAGGTGGGCTCTGGCAACAGCGAGAGGGTAGCTGGGCTCTTACAGAAGCTCAGGGTCACGCCAGCTCAGCTTGCATCCCACCCCAAGCCTATATCCCCCCCATCACCCCTACAAGTGCCTCCCCCTTCTCCCACTTGTCCAATCCTTCCCATTCTCCAAGCTCAACTCAAAGGCGGCTGCACCCAGGCAGCCTCCCATCTCACACACCTGGTCTGCCTGTGCCAGGGTCACGGATTGAACCACAGCCATGCCGGCTGGAGGGACGCTCCACCCAGCTGCCCGCACAGGCCCAGCCCTGCCCAGCTGACCATCAGGTGACTCAGCTGACCTGCACAGGAGCCCTGGGACAAGCACAGTCTCATTTCAGAGGTGGGGACACAGGCCAGAGGGGACAGAGGCTAAGACCTGTAACATCAGTGGCCCAGCCACACTTGGACCCAGGGCTCTAGACCCCTTGGGCCTTTCTCCTCAGAGCCATGCCCTGACCATCGTTTGTTCTCCATTCATTGGACACCAGTGCCTCTCTGTGCCTGGGCAGGGGACACCCACACAGGAAGGGGAGGAGGGAATAGAGTGATGGCAGGAGCACGTGGGTGGCTGCAGGGGCAGACAGGAGAGGGTGCCAGGGGGCAGTCAGACCTTCAGCTGGCAGGAGATGGAGGAGGCCTGGCCCGGGGGTGCTAGCTGGGGAGGTGGCACAAATCCCAGGTGAGACACAGGCCTTGTTCATAACTGACAGTGTGGGCTGTGAGAGGACGGGTTGGTGGCTGGGGAGGGGTGGGCAGTGTGGGGAGCAGCAGTGGGTTCTGGGGAGGCAGTGAGCCCTGCTTTGGAGTTGGAGGGGTCTGGGGCTGGATTAGGAAGGTAGAAAAGCTGGCTAGGAAGAAATCTGAACTTTGGGAATCCCTGGCACCTGGGGAAGGGGGCCTGAAACAATGGGGATCCCTTGGGGCAGGGTGGCTGTAACTCAGGGTCCCGCCCAGCTGGCCTGGGATAGTAGGGAGGCAGAGTGCGGGAGAGGTGGGGCTCTCAGGTTTCACGCTGCAGGGTTTAGCCCCAGCTGCCAGAGGACCAGACCTCATGCCGGGACTGGCTCCAAGTAGCCAACACCAGGCCCTGTCTGTGTGGAAACCCAGCTCCCCAGCCCATAGGCTCCTTTTCTCTCAGGAGTGGTCTCTGTCTGCCGGTGCCACCTCCAGACCTTTACCCAAGCTGTATCCTGCATATGAAGTGCATCCTCCCGGGCCCTGGGGGGCAAAATGCTCCAAGCCTCCATGGGTCTGCTTGTGGTGGGCAGTGGTCTGCTCAAGTGCCATGTTATTTCTGACCCTTCCAGCAAAGAAAAGCCTGCCCCCCTGCCCTAGGGTGCTCTCCACGGCCTGCCTCTCACATGGGCCACACTCTGCAGACACCCAGTGCCCAGAGGACAAAGAGCACACACATGCCCCAGAAGGAGCAAGCCTCGGATTCACAGTGCAAATTCCCGGGTAAGTCCTGAGGGGGCAGGGCTCGGAAGGGCTCCTCAGCCTCCCCTTCCTCTCCTGGAAACTGGCTAATGACCCCCAGCCAATGACCCTGGGAAAGGCCAGAGCACTGGCTGCAGTGGCTGGGACCCCAGTGCTCTGGGAATGATCGGCTTTCAAGAGGGCTGAGGAGTGTGTGAGCAGGCTTCCAGGAGAAGGGCCCTTTACTTTGCCCTGCCCACATCAGAGGACCCACGTCAGAGGCCAAAATTAAGCTTCCTGCAGGCACAGGTGCTATGGAGACCCTGCTGGTGTGTCCCAGCCCCTGCCTGGGGGAGGCAGGAAAGGCTTCAGGGTGGGGCCTTGAAGGGTGGGGGAGAGCATCTGGAGGGGAGAGGCACCCCCGAGTGTGGACAAAGGGAAGGAGGAGAGAGACTTGTGTGCCAAGGGACCTGTGTATGAGTACAGGGCAGGGAGGGCCCTGGAAGGCTGGCCAGGGCTCTGGGCAAGTCAGCGGGTCAGACTTCATCCTGCGATCACGGGAAGATTTTCGCCTGGGTGGGAGAGCACTGGGGTCTCTGATCTGGACAGCTCCCTGGCTCCGGGAGACAAGGGACCTCGATAGGTCTAAGGGGGTGGCTCGTGAGGGCCCGAGGGAGCTTGGAGAGGTGGCCATGTAGGATTGGTGGCCGTTTTGCCTTCTTGCTCTAATAATCTCCAGGAGACCCCAAGGATAAGGAAGACACTCGGACTTAAACCCAGATTCGGGGGCTGGTGCACCTCATCCCAGTATAGGTGGGACCCCAGCTCATGTCTGCGTTAGGGGACTCACTGCCCCGGGCTGCTTCAGGGAACCGGGAATTGGGGGAGGTCCTGTCCATCTCCAGGCCAGGGCGGGCTCCGGGATGCGAGGCTGGAGCAGAGACCTGCGGCCGAGGGCAGAAAGGCTGAGCGGGGGAGCGGGACACGCCTGGGGGGTCCTCTACGGGAAAGCGGCCCCGTTCCCTCTGGGGAACTGAGGCTCGCAGAAGTCCGCGGCCAAGGTCACGCTTGGAGCTTGAGGCAGAGGCAGGGCTGAACCGGCGGGCGCCCCGGCCAGGGGATGGAGTGGTGGGGGCACCGCGGCCGTGGCTCACCTGGTAGTTGTCCAGCTGCTCCTCGGTGAAAATGGTCTGCTTGTTCCCCATGGCGGCTGTGCCGCCTCCCGCTGGCCGCCGCCTCCCGCTGTCTGCGCCCTACCCGGATGCCCGCAGCCCAGCTCGAGGCGTCCACTGGCCGGACCCGCCCCGCCCATCCCCGCCCATCCCCGCCCAAGGCTCCGCCCACAAACCCTACAAATCCCTGCCCCGTCCCAGGCCCCGCCCACACCAGTCACAGGCCCCGCCCCCTCTCGTGGTCCCGCCCCCCGGTTGGGCAGGGATCGCAGCCCTGGGGAGGTCAGGACTTTACTCCCTAAAATGGGCGGTTTGTTTCTTAAACCACTTGTGAGCAGATGACAATCGAGATCTGGTCAGTGCGTCGGGGCGGCCCGAACGTGGGCGTCTAACCCGTCTCCAGGTGGCGCGGACGCTGCCGGCCCCCAAGCGCTCCTTGAGAATCAGCGCCCGGGCTCAAGGTTGTGGTTCCTACGCGAGCGGGGCCGAGCTTGGCGGGTGATCCCTGGTGTTTTCACATTTTCCTTTTCCATCTGAGGTTGCTGGTTTGGGTTTTCCAACATTTTACCACCTTCCGGCGAGAAGAGTAGCCGTCAGCTGAGTAGCGAGCCATCCAGTTGAAAGCTCAGGCCATCAGAGGTATGGCCGTTGCTATGAGACAGGCAGAAAGCAGTTCGGAAGCCCAGGGGATTCCTCACCAGCCTACAGATGCTGCGTCATCACCTCTCATCACACACCGGACACGTGTGATGGGGGCCTCGGCAGCGAAGAAGGCACTCGGAGTGTGTGATCGGAGGTGCAGGGCAGGTGCGGTTTTAGAGCAGGGGACAGGCCTCTCTGACCCTCTCTCCATCTGTGCTCCCCCTTCTGTGTTGGAGCTGGGGAACGAGAAGCCCTGTGCAAACCCAGGCTCACCAGTACGAGTGCTCCTTTCTCCCCGCGCCTTAGGCTTTGCATTGCCCGTGAACAGGCCAGAACCCCGTGTGTTCAGACCCTGTGCTGGCACCTTCTTCTGCAATCGCTCACAGACTGCTCCTTTGTACACTAGGTCCCAGTAGAAAAGCAAGGACCTCTCCAAAGAGGGCTGTTTTCAGTTCTGGGGCGTTCCTTCTCTCACAGGAGGTAAACAGAAGCAATCAAGCTGACTAGAAAATTCCCTCAACGAAGGCTTTTGGATCGCTATTGTCATTGCTCTAAGTAATAGCCTCTCTTGAAGGATCACAACAAAGCTGTGAGGAGGGGCAACGGGTACAGGTCCCGTGTTACAGACTAGAGACCTGGGCTCTACCGACGACCTGCCCAGTGCCACCCAGCTGGGAAGGGGCAGAGTGTGGCTCTAACCTCATTTTCTGATCCCAAACCCTGCATTTCCACTGGGCCCAGATATTGGGTGTGGTCTCCGAGGAAGGCAGTGTGTGGCCGCAGGGCACGTGGACAGGGGAGAAGAAGCTCTGACTGTGTACTAGGTGCCCGGGTTGCCCCAGATGCTTTACTTGCACCAAATAGGACTATTCCAGGAATGCCTCTTAGGTCTGTGGAGTGTGGCATGATTATCCCGTTTCACAGATGGGGAAGTAGTCCCAGAGAAAGTGACTTGCTCAAGGTCATGGGTGGTGAGGGTGGATTTAAATCTGGGCCCCAACTGTCTTGATTACACTAAGACAGGGGAGCATGCGGTTACTGCTGTTTTAAGGCCAAGTCCTGGGCCGTTGCGGTCTTGTAAACGATGTAACAGGAGAGGTGGCACCATTAGTTGCCGTTAAAGTGCTCATTAAATGTCAACTTTTTTTTTACTTATGACTCATACCATAAAGTCTATTTTAAAATTTGAAAGGAAAACAAGGATAAATACTGTGTAATTCTCAAGGAGTAAACTTGATAGGAGGTCTGAGTAAACACAAGACAACATAAATCTCTTTCCTTCTTTCCACATCCCTCCCTCCTTGACTAGCTGCTGTTGGGGATGAAATGTCATTGATCTTCAGGTTGTTCTAAGACTTTGAATCTGAGAGGATCTTGCTGGCAGAGATGGAGCACCTTGGACCCATGGCCTGGGCAGGAATATTTAAAGCAGACCTGCCTTCTGGCAGACGCAGTCTTGGGAGTCATTTGCCGGTCCTCCACTCACATCCTTTGCTACCCCACCGCAGTTCCCGTTGGCTCCAGGGGCCCCGTGGGCATGTCCTCGCACTGTCTTGGCTCCTCTGGTTCTATCCTGAGGCAGTTCAGACCCTGCACCTCTCCGGGTCCCATCTTCGCTCATGCTGGTCACCTTGGCCTGTCCCCTGGCACAGCTGCTGCTTGTATTCTGAGAAGTAACGAGGCCACTTCAATCTCACACACACACTTTGCACACCCTTATTTAAGCTGACCCATAGTCTGGCACTGAGCCGACCTTAAGTCTTTTGGCCTACGCGGCTGGGAGACTGGAGTCAGTTTTTATTGAGAGAGGGAAGACTAGATGAGGGAGCATGTTCCCTGCTTGTCTTTGTTCATCTTTAGAAAGAAGTTACAGCAAAGCATGGGAGGTATTTAAAAAAATTTTTTATTTTTAATTATTAATTTTTAAATAAAGGTATCATGATATACAATCTTATGAAGTTTTCACATGAGCAACATTGTGGTTTCAACATCCACCCATATTATCAAGTCCCCCACCCCCACCCCATTGCAGTCACTGTCCATCAGTGTAGTAAGATGCTATAGAGCCATCACTTGTCTTCGGCATGAGAGGATTTTAAATGTTGATTTTTTTTCCTGAACATTAAATTATAAACCCCAAGATACTAAAAGTCTTCATCATGATTATTTGTGAGGGTTGTGTGGTGGTCCACTCAATTCATTTAACCTATATTACATGAGCATTTCCTCTCTTAATCATGTAGACTGCTTTACTTTTATAGATAATCCTATAATCAGTATCTTTGTGCTGATGGCTTTGCCTTTCTGAATTTTTTCAAGGAATTAATTCTGAGGAATGGATTTACTAGGTCAAAGAGTAAGAACACAATAGCTCTTGAGAAATGTTGCTAAACTGTTTTCCAGAAGGACTGTATGCAATTTACAGGGCCAGCCAAAACTTAAGGGTGTGGCAATTCCACTGTAACTTAGATAGTACAGGACAGTCACATTTTATTAACACTTTTTAATAAAAGGGATAAAAAAATTTTTTTTGCATGCACTTGATACTGTTAAGATTTTGGACACTTTTTTTTTTTTGAGAGGGCATCTCTCATATTTATTGATCAAATGGTTGTTAACAACAATAAAATTCTGTATAGGGGACTCAATGCACAGTCATTAATCAACCCCAAGCCTGTATCTCAACAGTCTAAGATTTTGGACATTTTAAGTTTCTTCATTTGTGTTTCATTGGCTGTGAACTGATGGTTTGGGTCCTTTGCCCACTTACTTATTAAAGTACTAATATTCAGGAAAATAAACTAGGGAAACTACTAAAATAGATGTTTTCTGTTTGCAAAAAATAAAAAGAGGCATTTGGAACGTGAACTACATCTTATTTTGCTGATTTATTAATTTAAAAGTTGCCATCTTAAGGAATTTCCTTAGAAGGACACACACCTGGATAGTGCTGTGCCACAATAAGGGCACACTTTCTAGATCTTTCTCTGAAGTCGCAAAGCTTCCCACCATCTGGTCCGCTCACACCTGCTGACGGTGTCTCTGGGCACTAACGGTAAAGTGAGGCAACAAAGGGGCTCATGTAGAGGGAAGTGACCTCCGTGTTTGGGGAGGGGCAGGTCCCAGCTGGGGAGAGGGCGCTGTCTCCCCGACTTCCCTCAGGCTGCTTGGGAGGCAGGGGGCACTAGTCGTGGGAGTTGGGCTGGGAAATCTCTGAGGCACCCTTCAGTCCCAAGAGCCTGAGCTTCTGGGGCATCCGACGCGTTTCCCCGGGCTGCTGACATTTCACCTCTTCGAGGACGAACCAAGCCCCATCTCCATAGCGGGAGCTTCCCTAACCAAGCCCCACCCGCGAGACTTACAGCGCCTGCCGTACCTGACCCTGTCTGGTCTCCCCGGTAGCCCTGGAGGGCGGGAGGGGCTCATTCATTCCTCTGTCCTCAGAGTGCAGCTCGTAGGGACTCCGCCTGGGGGCCTCTGCTGAACTGGATGACCCCTCGGGGGAAGCTCGGCAGGGAGAACGGCCTTAGTGATTTGTGGCAGCATCGCTTCCTAGCTGTACCTGTTTCTTCAGAGTTTTCGTCAAGATTAAATGGAAATCGGAGAAAGCCATTCAGTTTGTTTCACAGCCTCTGAGCAGCAAGTCCTCTGCATGTGCTGGTCCCTCTTCCGGAAACAAAGGCAAGTGATGCCTGTGGGCTGTGGAAGATCTCCGCGGACACAGCGGGCGATAACGTGAGAGTGTTCCCGGGAGAGGCGGGAAACAGGGGTGGGAGCTCCGGGTGGGGGGGAAGGGCACGCGGGCAGGTCGTGGGGGTTCCCAAAGGAACCGACATCCGAGCTGAATCTTGACAAGCGGCTGGAATTTCCACAGGTGGAAATGGGCCCAGCACAGGGCGGGTGAAATATGGGAGGCATTTAGGGGCTGGCCAGCAGTCCTACTTGGCTTGTGCACCGGAGCTTTGGGCTGGAAGGAGCGACAGGAAGTATGGCTGAAAAACAGAGGTGACAGACGGACGCAAGGGAGGGCCAGGAGGCCTCGGCATCAGTTTTCTGGTGAACGGCTATTTCCTGGATGGAGCGCTCTCCGGGGTGGGTGGGGGCCTGGCCCCGGCGCCCTCCGTCCCCCGGTGCCCAGCCAGGCCGGGGCTGACGAGGGAGGGCGCGGGGGAAGGTGGCGGGGCCGCAGCTCCTCAGCGAAGCCTCGTCCGGTCCGCCAGGGTACGTCAGGCCCCGGTTTGCTCTCTCCAGGCTCCTCCACTTGAGCCTCTGGGCACCTGTCTCCGTTTAAACGACGCGCTCGAGGCCGTCCAGGAGCCCGACCGGCAGGCGGATGCGGGACGGGGAGGGACTGACAGCACAGCGCGCGCTTCCACTCTCCACCTGGACTGCGGCCGCCGCGCAGCTGCTCCCTCACCGAGAACGGCCCAACTCAGCGAGTTTTACGGGACTTGAAGTACACCTCAATGAGGCTGCTGAACAAAGAAATAAATA